AATATAAGAGTCACACCACACAAAAAACTAAAATGTTAGACTTTAGAAAAACAAACTTTTCTAAAATTAGAATATGTGTAAAGGAGTCATTATCAGACTGGAGCAATTTAAATGAAGTGAAGAGAAATGGGATTATTTAAAAAGTTCCACTGTGAGGAAGACAGAATATTCTATAACAGAAAAGAGTGGACCCGGTGGAACACACCACCAAAGAAAGACACACTTAGTGGAGTGCTCCACTGAGTGTGTCGTTCTTTGGTGGTGTGTTCCACCAGGTCCACTCCTTTCTGGTATACCTATTTGTGTAAATTTGGGATATTTTACACGTGTGTTGAGCTGCTATATATCCTTTGTATATTTATCATTAAGCACCTTGTACACTGCACAGAGCACATTTTCTTAGAATGCTGTATAAGATTAGGAATAAAGAGGCTAAGCAAGTTATAAGAGCTTCCAAATCACACACAGAAGAGAAAATAGCACAGTCAGTAAAAAAAAGGGGACAAAACTTTTTTTAGATACATTAAAAGTATAACAAGGATAAGTTAGATTAAAACCAAAAAAGGAAGGTATGTAGAGGATAAAGGTTTGGTGACTGCCTCAATGTATATTTTTGTTCAGTATTTACAGATGAAAATGAAGGAAAGGGGCCTCAGTTAGGAAAAAGGACAAATGAGTCATTTGTTACATGTAAGTTTACAGAGGAAGAGGTTCTATTTCAACTGTCAAAAGTTCAGATCCCTGTTAAAACCCAAGGGCAGAGTACAGAATATTTGACAGAGTCCTAACCTCAACATCTGAGGAAAGGGATTTAGGGGTGATTATTTCTGATGACTTAAAGGTAAGCAGACAATGTAATAGAGCAGCATGAAATGCTAGCAGAATACTTGTATGTACAGGGAGATGTATTAGCAGTAGAAAGAGGTAAGTGCACTTGGAGTATTGAACACAGTATTGGAGACCGTATCTCCAGAAGAATATTGATACATTAGAGAGAGTTTAGAGAAGGGCTACTAAACTGGTTCATGCATTGCAGGATAAAATTTACAAGGAAAGGTTAAAGGAATGTTACATGTATAGCTTGGATGAAAGATGAGACAGGGGGATATGATAGAAACATTTAAATATATAAAGGGAATCAACACAGTAAAGGAGGAGACTATATTTAAAAGATGAAAAACTACCACAATAAGAGGACGTAGTCTTAAATTAGAGGGGCAAAGGTTTAATAAATATCAGGAAGTATTACTTTACTGAGAGGGTAGTGGATGCATTGAATAGCCTTCCAGCTGAAGTGGTAGAGGTTAACACAGTAAAGGAGCTTAAGCATGCGTGGGATAGGCATAAGGCTATCCTAACTATAAGATAAGGCCAGGGTCTAATAAAAATATGTAGAAAATTGGGCAGACTAGATAGGCCAAATGGTTCTTATCTGCCATCACATTCTATGTTTCTATGCGGATATCTTGAACTGTTTTCCTGCTAAAGTAACCCCCTTTATGTGTGGATTTCGCCTTGTCACCTGGAGCAGTGGCTCCAGTGATAGTGCTTACAACAAGGGAAACAGCAGGCATCCCTGCCTTGTTCCGTTGTGTAGAGGGAATGGGGAACGCTCAGCACCCGTGATGATAGTCTGTGCTCTTAGGTTCGAGTATAAGGCTCAGATCGCTGTGGTGTACATCTCTGGAAAGCCCCATGCTGTGAGAAGGCCAAAAAATAGGGCCACTTTACCCTGTCAAAAGCCTTCTCAGTGTCTAGCAAAAGCACTAGAGAAGGCCTCCCAGATGCTCCCATATGACATGTCAAGACCGTGTTTCGTATTGTATTCTCAAATAGTTATCTTCCAGGCATGAAGCCCATCTGGCCCCAGTGTATGAGTCGTGTTAAAAATGGCATAAGCCTAGAGGCTATTATACTTGCGTACAGCTTCAAGTCTGAGTTGATCAGGGATATAGGTCTGTAATTATCTGCCTGTGCTGTGTCCCTGTCTGGTTTCCGTAGTAGCACAATGTTTGCAAGTGATTGTAGAGGTTAGTGAGATGTGGTGTTAGAATGTCCCTGAATTTTTTGTAGTATCCTGCACTATATCTGTCCGGTCCATGGGCTTTATTACCCTTAAGGACTTTGATGGTCGCTTCTACTTCTAGAGGAGTGATTGGTGCCATTAGTGTCTCTGCATCTTCCCCTGTCACGCTCAGCAAACCTGTGCCCGAGAAGAAGGAATGGAGCTCCGCTGTATATTCGGGGGTAATCCAATCTTGGAGTGGGGAGTGATTGTAGAGTTTTGAAAAGTAGTGTGTGAAAACTTTGTTAATGTCGTCTGAGGTTTCTGCCATGTCCCCTGACTGCGTGAGGATCCTAGTTATGTGCTGGAACTCTTTTCTTGGTCCTAGCGACCTTGCCAATAGAGTGTCCATTTTGTTAGACTTCTCGTAAAATATACGTCTGGTCCATAGGATGGAGCAGGCCACTCCCTCCCGTGAAAGTTCCTTAATGAAAAGTCTGAGGGCAGTAAGCTGGTTCATTTTGGCTGCTGTGGGATTTGCCTGGTGTTGGAGCTTTGCTTTCCTCAGGGCCATCTGTAATTCTAGTAACTGTGTAATAGTTTGTCTTTTTTTGTATGTTGTTGCTTTGATGAGGTGCCCCCTGACAACCGTCTTATGTGCCGCTCATATTGTCTCAGGGTTTACGTCTGGTGTGCTATTGTGTTCAAAATATTCCTTGAGGGCCATGGTCACTGAGTGGGTTATACCATCACCGTCCAGTAAACTTGTGTTTAATTTTCAGGTCCAATTAGAGGAGTACTTAAGTCTATCAAGAGTGACCGAGGTGTCTTCATGGTCTGACCAAGTGATGCTGTTAATTTCAGAGTGAACCTTGGCCATTCCCGGTCCGTTGATGAAAATGTTATCTATTCTGGAGTAGGTGTCGTGGGGTGCCGAATAAAATGTATAATCCCGTGTGTCAGGATGTTGTAGATACCACACGTCAAGTAGTCCTGTGTGCCAGAGAAAGTTGTACGTCAGTTTGTCCAGTGTGATTGTGGCACTCCCCTTCTTGAGCTCTTAGTGTTTGCTGGATACCGCACTGCATTGAAGTCTCCCCCCACCACCACCAATCCCCCTCCCCCTGTGTCTGCTAATGTAGTGAGGGAGTCCCAGAACTGAGAGTCTGGGTCATTTGGTGTGTAAACGT